AGGAAGTTCAAGCTGAACAACAACAAAAAGAATTAAATGAAAAACAAGAAGGTAAAACAACACCAAAAAAATTATAAATTATCTTTTATTTAACTTTTAGAAATTGACCATCGATTAAAAGGTAATACGGAAAATGAATTTCAACTAGTTACTGATCATGATTGTCATATTACATCTGAATGTTCAGTATATCCAGATGAATTAGATAAAGAATTAGATTATGAAAAAAAATTGCATTCAAATTATGAACATTTACAACAACAAATAACACGTTGTTCAACAACAATAGAACAAAAACGACAATTACAAGAACAAATTCAATTAAATATTGAACAAATACATGACGAAGTTGAACAAATACAAAAGAATATTATGAATGATAAAAAGGTTTGAATAAACGAAAGAAAATATTCATCTGCTATTCATTATTTTTAATATTTTATAGGAAATAAATCAGTATCAACATGAGCTTGAACGTTCAAATACGACACTAAATCAACAAGAAGATTTAACACGAGTATTAACTCAACATAATGATGAAATTTCACGAATTATTCAACAACGTCGACAACAAATTAATGAACTTGAAAATGAATTGACCAAAGTAGATGATACACTTATGAATAGTAAGTTTATTAATAAAATCAAACTCTTGATCGTTGAATATTTTTCTATATAAATTTTAGTCTATACATAAATCTTATTTAGATATAAGGTGTGCTTTTATTTCTCGCAGCTTCTAAATTTTTTTTATCACATTGCGTGCATGTCACATGCATATATAATCGAATTGATTTTTATTTTATTTTAAGGCCTTCTACATCCTTCTTATCATTTCCATTCAAATATAACTATTCCACAACATTATAATTCACTTCCATCAACAAATTCACCTTTATCATTATCAACAGGTACAACAACAGATGTTCTTATGCCTGTTCGTCTGCAATTCGTGAATAGTACTTTATGGAAATTATGCCCAAGTGGAATTTGGGTTTAGAAAAAAAAAGAAATTCTTTATTATATGTATCAGTTATTTTTTTAATTATTTCAATTAATAAAAAAACCTATTCGACAGTTTTAGTATCATCTAAAATTCATATTTTTTGTGCTCAAGATTGATCTAAACATTTCAATGTAGAGATAAGAATGAATACAATTTTTTTTAATATTTCAGTCGTTTGTTTATAAGTGCGTAACAACTTAGCATTGTTCCTTTACGAATTTTTGTTGCCGTTGCTGTTTACTTTATTTCTCAAAGACAAAAAAAAGATGTTAAAAGGCTTTATGACTCCAAGGAATATAAAGTAAAAAAATTTTATTCAATTTTTACTCGGTGATATGCACGTGAAAGAGTATTTCTTTTTCTTTTTGTAGAATTCATTCTATGTATATATATAGCTTGTTTTAAATAGGTAACAGACGATCATTTTTATATTTGTTTGTAATTTATAATCTTTCTGTTGATCAAACTATAATATAAAGATGACTGAAAGACGTATTCTTAATGAACACCATTGGAAAGGTATGAAAAGAAGATTTCTTATTATTATAATTGTTATTATTTAATTGTATAGAGAGTCTTTTCGGTTGTTGTTCGGATCTATCGACATGTTGTTATGGTTGTTTTTGTACAGCGTGTTTATTTGGTGAAAATGTTCGAAAAACTTCAACAGATGCTGGTTTTTTTGGTGGTTGTTGTGGATATTTTTTAACACAAGCAGGTTGTTGTTGTCTTGTACATAAACCAGCTCGAATACGTTTTCGTGAAGCATATGGATTACAAGAAGGCCATGGACTTGCTAGTGATTTTTGTGCATCATGGTGTTGTTCAGCATGTGGTGTTTGTCAAGAAGCGCGTGAAATTAAAAGTCAAGGTAAAGTATAAATCAATCAATTGTATATATATTCATTTAAATAATTGTAGGTGCACCACCAATGGTAACGGTTGTTGCTCATGTAGGTACTCAACCTACGGCCGTTGGAAATAAACCACGATAAAACTTTAGTCATATAAACACATTTATTTAATCAAGCATATATTGTTTTAACTTTTCTTTTTTTGTATAATTATATCAACAAATAAAAGAAACGATCGTCGTTGTATCATGGGGAATTAATAACAATTTCGAGATATATTATTTTTATTTCAACAAAATGAAAATTTTATAAAAAAAGAAGAAATATTTATTAGTATTGCTTGTATTACAATAGCAGATAGATAAGGCTGGACTAGATAATTTGAAATATATACAAAAAGATATCAGACTTCAACTGCTTCACAACTTATTTGCCATAATTGATTAGCAAATGCATCATGAGTACATAACCATGATGGTTGAGAAACAGCACAATGTCTAAAACATAGAAGAAGCTATATAAATAATATAATTTGATTTCCATATAATTACTCAAAGTAGAGATCTTCTGAATGTTCTAATAATGGATCAACAGCACAATAAATCGTTGTTTGTGCACCCGTTTTAGGTTTTATACCGAAAGCTATTTTAAATAATCTTAATATCGGATATACAATTAAAAATGGATAAAATCCAAAAGCTTCGATTATTGATAAACGATTTGATGTCCATATCCAACCAGGATTCACAGCAAATACATTTATACCTTCAGCTAAATATATATTTTAAAATAAAAATCAATTCGAAAATATCAAATAAGAACTTACATTCAAATAAATCTTGTTTTAATTTATAAGCTGATAAAATTTGAAAGACTTTCGATGTTGGATAAGCACCCCATAGATAATAATTTTTAAATTGTGTTAAAGCATCAGACCAATCGATTGTTCGAACAGCTGTATATATAAAAACACAAATAAAAAAAAATATATTTGAATGATTTTAATTCAAACTTTTATGTGCACTCGATGAAATATTAATAATACGACTTGGACGACATTGTTTTAATTTGTCTAATAGAAGATTTGTGAGAAGAAAATGACTAAGATAATCAGCTTGTATAATAGAATTAAATCCATCTTTTGTAACTACATCTGTTGTCCAAAGAAGACTTGAATTACAAATTAATACATCAAGTCTTTCTTCTTCATTATTATAATTTTTAGCAAAATGACGAACAGAATCTAATGAACATAGATCACATTCCATGAAACGTATAGATTTTTCATTACATTCAGTTTCTGCACGAAGCTGTCGAATAGCTTGATTACCTTGATACATATCATGACAAGTAATAATTACTCGAGCACCTAGAAAAAGTTTCCCAAAAATTTGAATAAATAATAAATATATTTTTTAGTAAACCTCGTCGAAGAAGATCTTTAGCTGTTTCGTAACCGATTCCAGTGTGGCCACTTGTAATAAGAACAGTTTTACCAGGTATTAAATGCATAGTTGGATAAAATTTTCGATTCATCCAAAATTTATTATATAACCATGCTGTCATAACTAGAAAAATATTCGTTTTTATCAACTTGACATTCCGAAAAAGAATTATACCTGTTCCAGTAAAAACAGCAATAGATGTACGATACTGATCAAAGAATTGATGTGTTATTGAAAATAGATTATCTACAGTTGTAAGAGGTACTAAGGATGGTGTTGTCGTTGTTACTTCAGCCATTTGTTCGATATATTAATACTTGATAATAAAATAATGGGATTACCTATATATATATAAATAAGATTTACAACTAAAATTGTTCGACCAATCTTTGCCAATCAAACAATCGAAAACTGATCAGTATATATATACTACTACTACTACTGACCTCTGTACATAGATATTTTCTTATATTTTTAATGTTCAATTTTATCTGATATATTCATCATCGTGTGCTACTAACAAAGTTATCAGATAAGATAGTTCAAAAATAATGAATTTTATTTATGTTTATATATAATTAAATTTGAAAAATAAAATATTTTTAAAATATAAGAATATATTTAAAGTCCAACTGCTTCACAACTTAATTTCCATAGACGATCAGCTATTGCATCATTTTTACATAAGGATGAAACTGTTTCAATAGCACAATCTCTTTGAATATCAAACGATATGATTTAATTAGTATATTTCTAGTTAAATAATCTTCTTACTCAAAATATAACTCATGAGAATGTTGTAGAGATGGTTCAACTGCACAAAATATACTTGTTCGTGCGCCTGTCTTTGGTGTTTTGGCTAAAATAAATTTTAGTATATATAATATCGGATAACAAATAAGAAATGGAATGAATCCAATAGCATCTCGCATGGGTGATTGAAT